GGCGCGCCACGCGGGGCCGAGCGGTAGAACGGGCGCCCGGTTTGCTGAGCTGCGTCCCAGGGCAAAGCGCGAAGCTTGGTTTCTGTCTGGCGACAAGCAGACGGGTGGGATCTGGCCGCTTCTCCCTGATCAGCACTTAGACTGTCAACAGACGTTCTTGAAAACTGCTTCTCTCTCCCTTCATACGAAGCGTTTCTGAAAGCACTTGCACAACGACGGTAACGTGTTTAGACTCTAAGCATCAAAGCACTGGACTGTGAGCCCCCCTCCCCTCAGCCAGTTTCGACCTACTGACTTACATTCGATTTTTACGTGCTGTATTTTGTGTGTGTGTGTGTGGTGGGGGAAGGGGGAAGCATCATGGTGCAGGAACCTGCACGTCGCTGCCTGTTCAACGCTGGCGGGGAGCGAAGCAGCCTGCTCGGCTCAGCGCTGGTCACATAAGGGCAAAACCCTCTGCTCCTAGACGATGGTCAGTAGTGTTTTCATAAAGCCATGAAACTCTTTCTCTGTAGTGTTGAGTGATACTGTGATTAAAACGTTACTGAGTGATTCCAAGGTTATTTTTCTCTTTCTTCTGTCGTTGATTCTTATTACCACTTTTGGAAGAAGAATGAAAAAGAAAGAAAGGAAAAAAAAAAAGGCAGCTTTGATTTCCAGATGTGCAATTCACATGTGAACAAAGTAATTCTGAAGATAATTCTCAATGTATTTAACATTCTCGATGCTCTCTTCACAGCAAGAGATGTTTTGCCCTGATGTCATTTCCAGCCTGCAGAAGATGTAATTTAAAACATATATATATTGTGCTTGCAAGAATCATAAATCTGTGCATCCTATGTCATTCCTTTTCCCATTGTTACAATACAGATTTGATTTAGTTTTTTTGCTTTAGAACTGTATAGTGTTTTTTTAAATCAATTGTAAATGTCTGGTTTTCATATAATGTTTAAAAAACATTGAGAAAGAGGATGGTGCTTGTTCCATATCATTCTTGATTGTATATTGCTTCTGTTATGTTTATAAGTAAACTGTGCATGACTTGTGTTTAGCAGTCATTATTGTGTCTGTTTGTGAAATTTTTATTAAAAAGAAAAAAATTCCGTAGATGCACTTATTGTATATGTGATTAGATTTTGCGTCCAAGGCTAGAAGCCTTGAACTGCCAAGGAAGAAAAAAAAAGAAAAAGTGATGGCAGTTATTAATTAATATGAAATCGCTTTGTGGGGAGCATAATGAAATAAAAGATATGAAGTGTAGAAAATAATTAAAAAAAGCGATTTTACAAATTTCATTTTGATGCTTGTGATAAAAGACAAATGTACTTGTGTAGAGAAATTCCTTTAAAATAATGACTAGAAAAAGCTGATTTTGAGGTTAATGCTGTAGAATAGGAATGTATACCAAATGTAATCTTTCCAATGCTACAATGAATTTATACATGAGATTGATATGCAATAAACCTGTGTGCTTTTATAAGCAATGGTCCCGTGAGCTTTTTTTCTGGAAGACTGGCAGAGGCGCGACGTAAGGCACCACAACGGGACGCTTGGACCTGAGCTTGTATTTGCTGTTTTGCTAAAAAGGGTGAGTCGCAGTGGAGTGATTCGTGCAAGCGCTCTCGAGGCTTCGAGGGACGTAGTGTGAGTAGGACTCCTACGGGATCGCTTTGGGGGTGGGTGGCTGGTGGGAAGAGATGGTCTGGTCAAAACTTGGACTTAGGATTTTTGCAGGCTGAGAAAATAACATCCGTTATTCCTGGCCTTCCCTAGCAGGCCGTTCAAGCAGGCGGGCAGGCAGCGCCCCGAGAAGGGGCCGGGCTGCCCAGCGCTGCCTG